CCTGAAGCCGTAACCAAAGTTGTGTGTTTTTTTTTGTGTAATAAAGTGGTAACAGTCTTTTCCTAAGATTAACAGGTGTTTTATTTATTATACGAAGAAAGATAGTTAACAAGAATCAGAAGTGGGATACAAACAAGTATCGGCCCCAGTTCACAAAGCGGATCGTGAGCGAAGGCGTGGTGGTAACGGGTGAAGACTCGTGGTTTTCGGAATCTGCGTTTCGTGGTCTCGATTACTCACCAGCGGAAGGGTGTGAAGAGAGTAACGCGAGGGAATTGCAGAAAGTCGAAACGAGAAGTAAAACTGTTGTGGTTTACACAATTGGAACAAAACGTGGGTTGCCGGAAAAGTAAGGTTAGTGGAACCAGTGTCGTTTGAAACAAAGTGACGTGCCGTGAAAATCGTTGAGCTCCGCGTTGATTACTGCGGTAACGGTTGTTAGTGTTTACGTGATAACACTGATAACGGGTTGTTGATTACGAATGGATCTTCGCAGGAAAAATACCAAAAGAATCCAACATGGCGTCAAATCGCTTATCACATTTATCATTACATATTTTTCACACGGTTATCAGTTTATCACTGATTACGAAGTATACCGCCTTTTTCCATTTCGTGATTTGTTTAAACTGGGTTGTTATACTGATAAATAGTTGTCCAAGTTATATTTTACAGGTCATAGAATCAGTTAAATACAACGATACTAATGTTTAAAAATGTAATACAAATATTTTCACCTGAGTAACCCGGTTTTTAAGAGTAGTTTAGATGAGTACAAGTTAACCGAAAAACTTAAAACATTATGAAGCGAAACTATAAGGGGGGTTATTCCATCACATTAAATAACAAATAACCAGTTATTAAGAGATTATTTCACAGACTAGTTTTCCAATACCATTGTTATAATAATACAACTAAGTTTATCAAAATTGTATTATTTATTATTATAAGATAATATACTATTACTTCTTTCTATAAGACAGAAAATCCCAGTTATTATGAGATAAAATTTATAAGGAAATAATTGAACTTGTATGTCGTCTCAACTGACTGTATAAAATCAATTTTACAATTAATTTTTATTTTTTATGATTAATATTACAATACAATATAAGAGAAATGAGTTCCAGAGATTGTGTTCTATGTAATACTACATTTTCAACCGTATCTAATTTGAATAAACATTTAAAAAGAAAACATACAGATCTTTTACCACAGGTACATATTGTAATATCAAGTTTTTATTAAAAAACTAAAAAAACTTCTATTTAATTAAACACAAAAATTGTATTTTAAAAATTCTTATTTTGATTTATTTTATATAAAATATGTCTGAATGTATCATTTTGTATTTTGTGGAAGGTTAATTGCATACAGAAAAATGGTTATACTTGTGACAACTGCAATCAAAAATTTAATTCAAAAAAAAGTATTATTAAACATCTTAAACAGGAACACAGAGAACTAAAAATTAAATGCTCAGTTGAGAATTGTAACAGATCTTATAAAACATTAAAAGGTTTTTCCAAGCATTTAAAAAATGATCACAACATTGACATCAATATAGAATCACTAAGTTTCGATACTATAGAAGGTATCCTGATTTATTAAAAATTTTACAAAATAATAATCAATAATTAAAATTAAAATTGTCAAAACAATTATTTGGTTTAGAATTTAAGAAATGGAAAACCAATATTGAAGACACTAAAATCTGTCAATATGTTCAAAGAACATCTACTAAAACTCACCATAATGTGGAATACACATATTATATTTGTCATCGGTCATACCATCCAAGATTGGCTAGCAACGTAATAACACTTTATCTACTTGAAATAAATGACCTAAAAAGTAAAATTATATTATTAAAATATGAGATACATTTTATACTTAAGGGCCAAAGGAATCCTAATAGTAGTGGTTCGGTAAAAATTGGAAAGGTTTGTCCATCATATATTAGAGTATACAAAAATGGAGCCCAATTTCAGATAGAATTTTGTAGTACTCATTTATTTCATGATAATGAAATAGGGAAACAAAGATTACATACTGAAGACAGATGCCAATTAGCAGGTACTCATATAATAAAATGCAAAAAATATGCTTAATTTACTTTTGTGTAGTCACATTAAAAATTAAAAATTAAAAAGTATTAGGATAAATACCTTTTTATTTATAGCTTATCATAAAAGTAAATAATCATAGTTTAAAAATATTTATGTTTACATTTTTTTTAGGCAAACTAGGTATGGGTGTAACAGTACAACGAGTCTTAAGTGACGTTCGAAATTCTGCTACTGTAACTGATTTTAAAAGAATCCATTTATTAGAAAAACGAGATATACATAATATTAGACGTGATTTTAAAATTGATAATTATTCTACAAAGATGCATGAAAATGATTTTGTTAGTGTTTACCTGTGGGTAGAGCAAATAAAAGAAAAAGGTGAGACAAATCCAGTGTTATATTTTAAGCATCAAGGAGAAGATTCCACAACACATTTGACTCGGGATGATTTTTGTTTAATTTTAATGACTGAATACCAAGCTGAAATGTTAAAAAGATTTGGATGTGATAAAATATGTGTAGATGGAACACATGGTTTAAATAGTTATAACTTTCAGTTGTATACTTTACTTGTAGTAGACAATTATGGAAATGGCTTTCCTGTTGCATTCTGTTTTACAAATAAATCAGATACATCTACATATAAATTATTTTTTGAATGTATCCAGCGTGCAGTAGGACTTATCAAAGCCAATGTATTTATGTCCGACGATGAACCTGCATTTTATAACGCATGGCAATCTATTATGGGTCCAGTTTCTAAGCAACTATTATGTACTTGGCACGTATTAAGAAATTGGAGTAAAAACCTTTCCAAAATTCACTCACAAGAAAAGAAATCTATGGTTTATAAAACATTAAAATCTTTAATGCATGAAACTGATGAAAACAAATTTTACATAGAAATAACAAAGGTCATTGAAGATTTAAAAAATGATACAGATACTGCAGATTTTGGTCAATATTTTGCGAGCAATTATTCTTCAAGAGTTGAAAAATGGGCATTTTTCAATCGCAGACATGTTGGTATCAACACGAATATGTATTTGGAAGCTCTTCATAAAAATATTAAATATTGCTATCTAGAAGGAAAGCAATGCAGAAGACTCGATTTAGCCATTAATGCAGTAATGTTGTTAGTGCGAGATAAATGTTTTGAAAGGATCATTAAGATTTCAAAACAAAAAAGGTCATCCAAGATATTACAAATTATTGCCAGTCATAATAAAAGTGCTTATATTAAGTTGGATATGATTTTAAAAGTTAACAGCTACACATGGATGGTTAATTCACAAACTGATCCTAAAACAAAATATATTATTGAAAAAATTAATTTACCTTGCAATGGCTGTGTTTTACGTTGTGAATATTGTAAAATTTGTGTTCACATATTTAAATGTTCGTGTATGGACAATATTATATACTTAAATATCTGTAAGCATATCCATGCGATCGCCAAAGTAGATGTTACAATAGTTCAACCATCATCTAATGTAAATACATATAATACAGATGAAAATGGTAAACTGAGAAGAGAAATTTCAAATAATACAGAGACAAATAGTACAGATTTATACAAGGAAATAAATAAAAAAATGGAAGCAATGTTAGGCATGCACAGCAGAGCAACATTAAGTATTGAAAGCCAACAAAACATTTTAAAGCATTGTGATAAAATACTTACTATAATTTCAAAAGAAACGAACAAATCAAGTGATAATGTACCTACTAAAACTACCAATATTAAACACATAGAAAAGCAAACCAGATTTTATTCAAATAATAGAAAAAAACCCAACATTAATCTACCTCTTTCTTCACTTGAAAGTAATTTAATTAGGGATTCATTGAATAATTCAAATGGTGAAGTATTAAATGTTCATTCATCTAATGATCATTCGTACTTTTAATGTGAATTGAGTTTTTGGGATTTGTCATAGGTGGAGGTCAGATCAGTCCAGGTACAATAAATAGTGAAGCCATTGAAAAGTTCCCAGTCCCAAAAGATTTCCACGGTGTGCGCAGATTTCTGGGCCTCACTGGATTTTTCAGACGTTTTGTTCAGAATTATGCTACCCTGGCGGAACCTCTATCGAGGCTGACAAAAAAGGACGTAGTGTTCGAGTGGTCAACAATGCAAGAAAGTGCATTTAATGAAATTAAGAGAGTGTTTGCCGATAAACCCGTATTTTGTATGTTTGACCCAAAAGCAGAGGTCACCGAGGTCCATACAGATGCAAGTTCCGTTAGGCTCGGGGCAATGCTACTGCAAGGCAAAGAAAAAGGGTCACTACTACAAATAGTATATTGCATAAGTAAGTAGTTGGGCACTGCAGAGTCGCACTATCACTCGAGCAAGTTAGAGCTAATGAGTATAGTGTGGGCAGTGGATAGATGGCGACACTTTTTGCTGGGTGTTAGGTTCTCGGTCGTGACTGATTGTCAGGCGCTAGTTTACTTGAGAGGACATAGGGCTACGAAGCCACAAGTGATGCGATGGTACGATATACTACAAGAGTATGATTTTGACATATACCATCGTCCGGGAACAAAAATGTTGCATGTTGACGCACTGTCGCGTGATCCGGTTTCTGAACAGGAAGGCGAGACACTATACTTGGGGCACCGAGAGAACGCTACTCCTTTGCGCATCTAAATGAACGAGTTCCGTGTTTCCGTGACCACTGGCCGCCGTAATTTCCCCCACTCAATGATCGTCAACTAATTAGACAGCCGCCGCCGTCGAGAAGCAACAAGTGTCTGTATACAGCGGCTCAAGTAAAACGAAAATAATAACTCTTGACAACTGACATAAATATTTTATAAATGTGTTTATTTATTTATTCCAACATATATTTGATCAAAATAAAATTTAAATAATACTAAAAAATAATACTAAAAAAATAAAATAATTCAAATACAAAGAAATTAATCCGAGTCAGAATCCGAACTTGTATCACCTATTGTTAGGATATGACGTGCTCCTTCTTCAGGTTCTTCGTCCATAAAATCGTCTGTTATGTTGTCGATTTTCCAAAATTTTTCTTTCTCCTTGATGACGTGCCCAACGAAATTCGTCCACATTTCCGGTGTTACTAGTTCCACGCCTCTTTTCAGCAATTCTTTTACATCTTTTAATTTAAAGGTAGTATTGTGAGTACGGACATACCTCTTAACAGACGACCATGCTAGTTCTATAGGATTCGGTACGGGGGCAATCTTAATACTGTTTTATTGTTATCTTTCGCATACTCATCAATAACGTATTTCTCATGGCCATCCGTATGTATTGTTCTGACTTTAGACAATAATGAACCTTTTGTTGTTGGATAAGTAATGTTCTCGCCCTTACTTTCCAGCCAATTTATTATTTCCTGCTTTTTCCATGACATCACTGGAATACGATCTTTTTTCACAGAATGATAGGCGGCGTTGTCCATCACTATGACAGCATTTTCTTTAAGTAACGGCAGCATTTTTACAAACCATTCAAAGAAAGTACTGCCATTCATTTCATCATGATAGTCCGATGAGTTGGTTTTTGACTCAAAACATAAAAGGCCACCCGGTACGAAACCGTCAGTTGATCCTATGTGTAACACAATGAGTCTCTTGCCTTTTCCCGAGGGTTCCTTTTGTCCCATTGTGAGCCCTGTGAGGAATGCTTCTCGAGGTGAATTGACCGTACTGTCGTGCCATGCTTTGCTATGGGTTTCACCTGCGTTTACCCACGTCTCGTCAAGGTAGTATATTGGTCTGTTTTGTGATCTGTATTTTCTTATTTGATCTAAATATTTACCACGCCAAATAATTATGTCCTCTCTTTCAATAAGCGCACTATTGCGGGATTTTTTCGCGTAAACAAAATGCAAATCTTTTAATATTTTACGAAATGAAGAACGTTTGAGGTTTGGTAGAGTTTCATCTTCATTAATAGCTATCAACATTTTTTGTATAGTAGGAACTTCACGATTCAACCAAAAGCCATGTATTTTTCGTCTGATAGCTTGTTTGTCAAAACTATCTACTTTTTCGAGTATTGTAGGTCTAATTTTTTTTTTATTAGGTGATGAAACTGTACCTTTTTTTTTGTATTCAGCCAATGTCGTTTGTATCGTCCGTTGCCCAATACCACTTGATTTAGAGATTTCTAACAGCATTTGTCTGTAGGTCAATTGGGGGCTGTCTGGGTTTTCTTCTTGTTGTTTGATCTTCTCTTTGTACAGATTAATGATTATTTGCTTTTGACCAGTACCAACAAACTAAAGAATAATAAATTAATAAAATTAATAAATTAAGAATTTTGCTATAGAAAAATAATAATACAACATAATAATAATACTTACTTTTCCACGAGGATTTTTTTTGGAAGGCGATATATCGACGAGATCCATGGTGTATTAAGTACTCTAAGATAGTAAGATACACAATACTAAAAATACTTATAAGCAATGGTATGCTAAAAAACGCGAAGAAAAAAAGTTGGTGAATATTGTATGTATGACAAAACGTGAGATACTTGAAATCGCTAATAACGCTGTATACAACACCACCACTATAAGAACACGTGACCAGAACGACGGCAGCAGTGGTGGTAGGCGGCGTCGGTGGCGGCGGCGCGCATTAACGGCGGCCAGCATTCGGCTAGGTTTAGTGGTGGGAATGCGCGAAAACGGACGTATTTTGGTCGCCGCCCAGTAGCGTTCTCTCGGTGCCCCAACTATAGACGAAGTATTGGCTGGTCGGTTGGATGTGTGCGTTTCATTGAAAACAGAAGACAAGGTACGGATGGCTCAGCATGAAGACGAAGAGTTGCGCCGGATATGCAACATATTACAAAAACCTGAGGAGCAGAGAACGAAAGCCGAAAAGGGACTGGTGTGAGAATACAGTCTGGAAGGAAGCTTGCTGTATAGATGGTACCAAGGCCGAATACTGTTTGTAATGCCCAGGAGCATTGTGGTGTAAGTGCATGACTTGGGAGGACATCTGTCTGTCGACAAAACGGTATGTAAAAAAAAAAACAGTGAGTGTTGTTGAACACTCGGCAGGAACGAAGTTCAGTGCATGTGATGCGAGACGCGGAAACATATAAGGTTAGAAAAATATAAATAAATAGTGATAGAGAGAGAGAGAGACAGAGAGAGAAATGAATGCTTGTATAAATATATCGCGCGCATGGTAATAAAATTATAATAAATTTTTTCTGAGTATTATAAAAAAATGGTATTTTAATCATTATAAAAGTACAAAGCAATTATGAAATTAATCAGTATTCTCAATAACAGTAAATATTGGTTTGTGGTAGCTGAAATATGTCACGTATGTTTGTGATTGAATTTTTTCTATATATCTCGAAAAAACCGCATCGATAGTGGTATTGTATCTTGTTGTAGATTCCGACGGATTATTAATAAATGACAATAGACATATTAATATGTCTATGGAACAAACCTATTGATGGGGGACGAGGTGGCCGAGTGGTCTAACGCGTCGACTGCGGCGCTGGCAGTCGCGGGTTCGCCTCTCGACCACTGGGCGGCATTTTTCTCCGGGCAAGTCACGGTGTCCGGAGTACAAGTGCCGCCATCCCCCAACCCGGGGCATGGCAGAAACCTACGGGTGCCCCAATAAAAATTCTGCCACCACAAACACACACGTGTACCAACCTACCCAAACTAAAAACCTACAGTTCCCTACCAACACCCAATGGCCTATGTTGCCGCGGGTTATCCAATAAAAAAAAAAAAAAAACCTATTGATGGTTAAGTCAAATTCTACTGAAAGAAATTTTAATAATGATACGGTTGATACAACTTGTACTCGATTATCGTTTTTCAAAAGTAAATTTTAATTTCATTTGTTTAATAGATTTGTATGTATATAGAGAAGAAGGTAAATGGAAATCACAATGGAATTTATAAATTTAAGGGGCAAAAATTATTTTGAAAATAAAATTCTTATCACTTTCCTTATCAATAAAAACAATATTTATGAAAATCCCAATAAATCCCATCAAAAACTCAAAACCCCGAGTTTCCCCTTGGCGAGGTGGGTTTTAGTACTCTCCCGGACCAAAATCCATCAAAAAAGCAAAATCCAAAAGGGGGGGAGGAGGTGCCCCCGTTCCCTAAAGCGGAAAACTGTAGTCTTCATAATAAGAATGGGTTCCCCCTTGGTCCGAGGTCTTTAACTTGAATTCCGGCCGAGTTACACTCAACTCAAAATGTGGGGGGGTGGGGGCTTTGGTTCCCTAATGTTGAAAATTCATCTGGGGCCTAAAAAATTGAGATGCCCATTGGTCCGGGGTCTCTAAGTCGAATACCGGCTAAGTTATGCTTCGTCAAAAATAATTACTCGTTTAATGGGTCCCCCCCCCATTCCGCCCGACGATCACCTCTACGCGCGTGACGACCGATGTTGGGTAGCCTACGCGAATGGAACCCGGTTGCCAGATGGTACGATCCTAGTGGGGACATACGATAATATGAGAGGAGGGAGGGGATATGTAAGCCGGCAGCCGAGCAGAGCCGAGCCGAGCAATGTGTTACGCTTTTCGGTGTTACGCTTTTTGGTGTTGCGATTTTTGGTGTTGCGATTTTTTTCCAGCGACTCCCATCCACCTAACGCCCCATAAGGAACTTCGTTCCAATAACTCAAGACTTTTGGTTTGTGGGACTACGCCGTTATGTCAAACTTCACATTCAGATGTGTATGGAATGTCTGATGACAAAAAAACCAAGAGGACGACAACCTGGTCTGCTGCATCCCATACCACCAGGACGAAGGCCGTTTGAAGTTGTTCATGCAGACCATGTAGGGCCGTTTGTCACAAGTACTGAAGGGAACAGGTACATTTTGGTATTAGTAGACAATCTAACTAAATATGTCTGTTTGTTTCCAGTAACGGATACCAGTACGGAAGGAGTGTTGTATGTCATGGATGAGTTCATAAACAGGTTTGGACTACCTAGGAAGTTGATCACTGATCGAGGCTCTTGTTTTACATCTCATCGGTTTGAAAACTACTGTGAATAACGTGGAGTCACACACATACTTAACTCAACGCGGAGACCGCAGGCTAACGGACAAGTAGAGCGAATAAATAGCACCATCCTAGCCATGTTAATTTCTCGAGTTGAGGAAGGACAGTGGGACGAGTTACTGTCTGATGTGCAAAAACAGATCAACAACAGTGAGTCTAAGGTGACGAAGTTAACACCATTTGAAATGCTGCACGGGTATAGACCACGGTTTGAGTTAGGTCGATTAAGAGACCTTTCAACTACTAGCGAAGAGTGGGTCTGCCCATCTGAGCTCTGGGAAGAAGCAAGAGAAGAAATGATCAGGTCCAAACAACGTATGAAGATAGCTTATGACAACCATAGGCACAACCAAACCAAATACACTGTGGGTGAGGTGGTAGTCATGACCAGGGTGCCGGTGTCAACAGGTGAATCCACCAAGCTGCAAGAGCGTTATCGTGGGCCTTTGGTAGTAACAGAGGTTTTATCCAATGATATCTACCGAGTAGCGCAGCTTGCAGAGGATACCAGACGATGCTTTGCAACTACAGCGCATGTGTCTCAATTAAAATCATGGAAGATTGGGAAGGAAGAACTAGATGTAAGTGAAGAAGGGATGACAACAAGTGGAGAACTGTCAATGGAAGCTGAAGACATACCAGACGAAGCTGGAACAATAACTGGACATAACGAGGAGGAGTCAACAGATGTGAGGAGGTCTGGACGAGTAAGGAGGAAGCCTGTAAGACTTCATTACTATGACTCGCAATGAAAAAAAAAAAAAGAAAGATAATATGAATTATTATTTGTATTACTGTGTACTTAAATGTTTAATATGTGATAGGCACACGTGTGATTTGTTGTGAACTCAGGGTCATTACATCACAGTTGTGTATTTTGTTTTTTTTCTATGTAAAGTTATTAGATTTATATTGTTAAAATTTTTATAAAGATGATTTATATATATAAAAAATTTTTGTTGTTAAAAGCTAACTCTATGGTCATAGATATTGTCAGAATGGACGGGTGTTAACACAGACATTGCAGTGTTGTATCAATATATATTATATTCTATGGTTGTACAATGTATGTAAGATAAGCCCCACCAGAGATATGGGTGCAGTAGACACCAGGGTGTATCTTGACATTGTACACTGTAATCAGTTCGGTTGGAAACCTGGAATGGAATGTGTCGTCCTGAAGCCGTAACCAAAGTTGTGTGTTTTTTTTTGTGTAATAAAGTGGTAACAGTCTTTTCCTAAGATTAACAGGTGTTTTATTTATTATACGAAGAAAGATAGTTAACAAATGTATTTTTATCATACAAGATGAATCATTCATTATATAGAATTTGTTTAATACTATTCATTATGATGAACATTTTGGAGCATTTAATGTTATGTTAACTTCTGAATTAAAATAAAAATGTATACATAAATTTGAAAATATATTTAATATTTTTAAATTGTTATTTTTATTTGTACAGTTTCAGAAATGTACCTACTGTTGTTACATTATACCGAATACTATAATTTTTTATAATACAGTGGGCATTTATTGTATTAGGTATAATATTTATTGTAATTTTATAACTCTAATGTTCATATTATATTTAGTTATTAATTACATTGTTATTATAACTGAATATTGTATATAATTAATTACATATTGTCTATTGTTTTGTAAAATATGTTTGGTACTTTTATATGTAAAAAGTTGTTTTGTATTATTTAATATATATTATAATTTGTATCAATATGTGTAATGAAAGTTTAATAAAATGTAAATTTAACACATTATATCTTTTAAATTTTGTACTTGCAAAAAAACATGAACAATTTATAACTTAATAATCAAATTTCAATTTTAATATTAATTATTATATTCAAATTAAAACTGAAAATTGCCTTACTGTCCGAGAAAAATAACCTGTATAACTAGGTTCTGTTATAAATAACCAAACTTCAATACTTTAATATTTCAATTTATAGGTATGCTACTTATCACTAGGTATAGGTCGGGGAACTAATTGTTATCGTGAAGAAGTTTTATTGTAGTAAATTTCACTTTGGTTAATAGTCATCAACACTATAAGTTTTGTTTTTATATAACTATAAATATTATTATTTAAATAACTAAATTAAAAAGTACATAGTACTATAAAGATATGTTCAAATTACTATAAACATTGTCAAACAACTAAATTATAAAGTAAAGAGTACTATACAATTATATTTGAATTATTATAAAAATTGTCAAATAACTAAATTTAAAAGTACAGATTACTATTAAGATATGTTCAAATTACTATAAACATTGACAGATAAATAAATTAAAAAGTAAAGAGTACTATAAAATTATATTCAAATTACTATAAATATTGTTCAAATAATTAAATTGTATAGTAAAGAGTACTAAACATGTTTGGTACAAAACACTATAATTTTTGTCTGGCTAACTATAAAATCATAACTATATATTTTTAGTGAATCTGACTAACATTATAGCTATCCCTATAGCAATTGTATAATATAGTTAATTTTACTATTTTTATAGTGAAAATAACTGTTTTGTTTTTTCCGTGTTACTGTATACACCGGGATATACTTACTAGGTACCAATTAATTAGTTACCCAGCGGTGTATTACATGGGGGGGATGTAAGTGACATTATATCCACCCTATGAGATTTTTTTTTTACACATCATATTTAACAAAACACATATTAGATTCTGAGTGGAACGATGAATGTATTTTTTTTTTAATTTTTAATTTTTTTTTGTTTATTTTACGTCTGTGTACACGATAAGTAGTCGAAATAATGCTTCGATTTTCAACTTCAGTATCTTGTTCGATTGGAAAGTGAATATCGTTGGTGCACTGGGAAGTCCAAATTTAAAATTCCCAGTAATTGTCAAAAGCGCCAAGAAAAACAAAAGAAAAATTAAGGAAAAACGGAATTTTTCAGCAAAATCGATTTTTCAAAAAATTGAATTGGGTTTTTGGTGTAACTTTAAAACAAATGACCGTAGATAAGTGAAATTTTCACTGGTTGTTTATATTTGCATTTTCTATACACGATAACATGTTCAAAATATTTTGATTTATTTTGAACTGTTTAGGGAAATTTAATTTAAAATTTTTTTTTTTTCGTTTTTTTTCTAAAAATATTAATAAAAATGTATTTGTTTGTTAAAAAAGCTTGAAAATTTAATAGAAGGCTCCTAGTATATTGTTTCAAAGGCAGATGAAAAATAATAAAATCCTAAGTCACAGTTTATTTTTTTTTTTTAAGCATTTAAAGTTCAAAAATTGACAAAATATGAAAAAATCACGAAAATTAGCAAATTATTTTGAGTTAAGAATTGGTAAAAGTTTTTCTTTTTAAATGTAAGATTTTAAAATGTAATACAAGATTCCTTATAAGATTATCTACCTTTATCAAACAAAAAAAAAAAATGTCTATAAGAGAGTCAAATTAAATTTTTATGAACGTTTGAAATTCAAATTTTACAACATTGGATATTCACTCGATTTCTCATGTTGCGATTTCCTTATTTTGTTGTAATTAAAAAACGAATAACTGTAGACACATGAAAATTTTACTGAATGATTATATTAGCATTTCCTACATACCATACACTTTTGAAAATATTTTAAATCTTTTTGAGCTGTTTACGGACATTTTCAGTTTTTCAAATTTTTTAGTTTTATTTTCTATAAATATTAATAAAGTTTTATCTGTTTAGCCAAAAAGTGTAAAAATTTAATACAAGGCTCCTGATATATTGTTACAATAGCAATTGAAAAATATTAAAAATGAATATGTACAATTTTTTTTTATAAGCATTTAAAGATCGAATTTTGACGAAATTTATCAAATTTAAAACTGAATAATTATTTTTTAGTTAAAAACATATAAAATGTTCAAAATTTATACTTAAGAATTGAAAATTTAAAACGAGATTCCATGTAAGTAGTTAATTCTGTTACTAAAAAATCTAAAAAATACAGGACAGTTTATTTTTAGTCATTTTAAGTTCAAATTTGGACGAAATTACATAACTTTGTGATTGTATAATATTATTCGTGGGAACTTGAAACTTCTAAAGTACACTATTATAATTTATATCTATGACAGTATCAGGGTTGGTTGTCACCAAAATGCCCTTATGTATAATAGGTTATAGGTTATGTATATCAATTGCGCCGAAATTACCTTTTTACCTGTAAAAAATCTATCGATTGCGCCGCGTATCAGCTCTGCCGAAGTTTTTTACATATTGATTCCGCCGAACTTTTTTACATTATACAATACTAACAACATGTAAAAGGTTAATAATACGGAAAACGCTTTTGACGATTATTTAAATAAAAAAAACCGATATATTATTCTCTTATATAAATCTGGCTATTCAACCCATTATTTTAAAAATTGACCACATTGTATATTTTTATTACTTTAATTTTTATTTGTTTACCATACCATGCGGCATATGCAAATACAATAACTATATATTTTAATTGTTATTAATTAATTATTTAAAAATATGACGATCTTACTTCATTTTGTAAGACTAGATATACCTACTAGATATATGAGTTATATAATTTGATTATTTTAATACATATTATTATCCGTTATTGACGACAATGTTTGAATTGTTTTTTTTATTTACTCCCTTTAAGCTGCCATTTTTATTCTTATAATCAAATATTTGATTGAGAAGAGGGTATATGTGCAATAACCTTGTATATTTCAACCATGAATAAAACTTAATTTATACTATTATGGAAAACTACGTGTACCATAGGCGCAACTAGACCTGCAATTTAAGGGGTGCTAAAATTTAGTATACCTTGGTAACCCGTGGGGGGCTTCCCCCACCAACACACAACTTCAAAGCTATTAACAACATGCTTTTATAACTCAACTTCATATTTATATTAATTTATATGATAACACATTTGATATTTTGATAATGATTAATATTAAGGAACAATCACTAAAAACATTATAATTAATAATTAATTACAATAACTAATAACAACTATTTAGATAACATATTATAATCTATTATTTTAAAACAATTTTCCTGGTTTTTGTGTTATATCTATCTAACACTGTTTCCGTTTGTATTTTATTTGATAAATCCCTCTCAATATTTAAAATTGACAAGTCACTAAAGCGCTGCTGCAACATACTTGTTCTTAGCCAATTTTTGATACGTCTCATACTAGAAAAACTACGTTCACAAGTTGCAGAACTTATTGGGATTGTAATTGCAATTTGAAGTAGCTTATACAAGTTAGGAAAAGCTTCTTTATTTATTTTTCCTTTAATGTCATCAAAATTGAAATCTGGTGGCAAACAGTTTTTGAAAACCATCATTTCAGCTTTTAATAAATCGATTGAAACTTTTGTCACATTCTGAAATTGAATAGTAAAAATAATAAAAATATTAAAGTTATAGTAACTTAAACTACACTACTGAAAAAAAAATTGAATTCAATATTGAAATTGTATTTAATATTATATCAATTTTACTTTATAGTTATTTGTGAACTCTAAGCTTCCTTCATAGTTCATATTCATAAAATTATCAACGAAGCAAGCCATAGATAAACTTTCTTCAGAGAACCTATATTTTAAATTAACGATTATAGAATCAAGTATTGGATAGTATAAATTTTGTCTCCAATAGTCTTCAACAGATGCCAGGATCGTCAATATCAGCTTCAATTTCGTTTTCCTCATTATTATCTTTAGGTT